TTAGGTTCACACTTATACAGATTCCAGTGCTTTTTCTAGTTTTCAGAAGCGCATTACAGTCCATTTAACATGATTTCCTATGGATCTAGTTCATATGTGTGCGTTTTGAGCTGGTTCGGATTTTTGAAAGGGTCAGGGACTTTTTTCCCCGCAGCAGATTGCATTTTGTGTATAATAGACTTTAATGGAACCGCATCAAAAACACATGCAAAACGCATGCGTTTCCTACATGACAACAGACACCTCCTCCTAGCAACATTAAACACATCCCCAAAAAATGCAAAATGCATAAAAAACGCATTCGAAAATGTATGGGAATAAAAATGCATCAACTGCAACCTACATACATGTAAACCTAGCCTTAAAGTGGTTCTAAAGGCGTAATTTATTAATTTTTTTTTAAATAACAGACATGTCTATACTTAACTGCTGTGTGCTGAGCAGCCCAGATCCTCCACTTTTACAGGTCCCCCACCGGCGCTTCTGGCCCCTCCCTCCTGTCGGGTACCTCCACAGCAACCAACTTGGGGGCACCCACTGCTCCGTGTGTTTATGCACACATAAAGCCATTGCTCAACCCTGCCCTCTCTCTCTTCTCATTGGCTCACTGGCTGAGATTGACAGCAGTGGGAGCCAATGGTTCCCGCTTCTGTTTCAGTCAATGAGCAGAAGGAGTCCTGGGATAGCCGAGACTCCAGTGCACCATTCTGGATCAAGAGGGAGCTCAGATGAGCATTAGGGGGGGCTAGGGGGGATGCTGCACAGAGAAGGTTTTTTACCTTCATGCATAAAATGTAGTGTACGCATAGCTTCTTTTCTCCTACATGATTTTCAGAATCACTATCTTGTTAAGATGTTAAAGGAAAAATGGTCATTTTAATACCTTAGACTATAAGCTCCTTAAGGACAGGGACAGATGTGAATGTAGAATATATATGTAAAGTGCTGCGTAATGGTAATTGACTGCGCTATAGAAGTGCCTGTGAATGTAGAATAATAAAAAATACAATTTGAAGAGAGCAGATCTCAAAAAGTGGAACAAAATGTGTAATTACAAGCACATAGGAGCATAAATCTTGTATTTGATTATTTTTGTTCACAACTCCTGCAAGTGATGTTAGGAATCTGTACATTGTTGGTGAACTCTGGATCTTTCATGGGCTAGCCTGCTAATTGGATCACAACTGTAAATGAATTTCTGTTTGCACTGCAGAATCTGTTTGTCCTACAAGAATTCCAGTGGCAGCCAGAGACGAAAAGGGATTTGATATACTATTAGGACTTGGAGTAAATAAAAAAAAAGCCAAGAAAGTTGAAGGCTCTATCCCTACCACTAAAGCATATGAAATAACGTCACAGGTTGACCTTACAGAATTCACAAGGTAGTATTTATGTCATCGTTATTACAACCTATTTTTTTCTATTTTTGGTTATTGGCATCTAAAATAATTCACGTATTGTAAATATTTCTTTTTTTGTTTGCAGAAATGTATTTCCAGAAGGTCTTCCTCCTTCTTATGTCTTTGTGTCAACTCAGCGATTTAAAATCAAGAAAAAATGGGATTTGTGGAGAATAGTTGCACTTGATGGTGCTATACAATCTGCTGTTTCTTTAAATGGAGAAGATAAAACTCTATCATTTACTACAACCAGCCAAACAAATGACAATCAAGTTATAATATTTTTAAAACCTGGAGTAAAGGTATTAAACTTTCCAACATGTAACTTTTACATAGGTTCCATGTCAGGGCTCTCCAATTCCTTCTGTATCAAACTGTATTGTAATTGTACTGTTCCCCTTTTATTGTAAAGCAACCCAAAATACAAAATTTTAATTTGTTGCAATTTTCTAATATTTAGAAGTAGTGAAAGCATTCATTTTATTTCTTTTAGACTTTTTTTTTCCTTTTGGCACCCGCTGATCCAACCAGTAACACACTTCATGTTTTAGGGTGGGTACCCTCACTCCTCCAATTTATCTGTGGAGAAACTACACTCTTGGACAGGAGCATTGTCATTCTGTAGATCTTAGACTGACTCATATATTTAGATGAACTTTTCATATGTGACTTAAAAAATTAGAGCCTAATTCTAGCTAACTTTTTTTTAAGTAGTTACAGAAACTGTTTTTTTTTCTTTTTGGATAAAGCACCCTGTCAGTGTTTGTCCCCACCCACTATCTTCCACTTTTGCTGGACAATAGTGATGAGATGAACTGGCCTGGGTTTAATTCAGCAGGGATACACCAAACTTCAAAGATGTTTGGATGGCAAACCTGAACCCTTTGAAATCAATGGGAGCTGAATCTGTCAAATAAAAAATGCAAATTTGCTGAGCTAATAGACAAGGGGGTATAAAAGAAAAAAAAAACATGCAGAGGTGCGCAGTAACCTGGGGAACATGTACCAATGCAAAAAAATGTTTTTATTAATTCCATGTGGCCGGGGGCAGTTATTTTTTTTAGCATTGACATTTACAAAGAAAAAATAATTTTAAATTGTTAGCAAATTATATCTACCTCTTGCTTCTTTTTGAAATGATAAAACAGCACACAGACCCCAAAGTTCTCCCAAAATGCATAGCACACCATTCAGAGACTGTTATGTATTATGGGGGAACATTGGACGGATACATGTGCTGTTTTTTTTTTAGGGGGGTAATTCATACAATCCTTGCTCAGTGGTTGTGAGGGTCTGTGGACAGAGGCTTATTGGTATCTGGAAGCCTCCTTTACCCCAGATACTGCCCCCCTATTACGTAAATGAGTATGGGGTACAAAGCATCCTTATTCCTTCACAAACAAAATGTAACCCAGAAATAAAGAAACCCAAGCGACTGACAATTCCTTTATTAAAAAAACAAATCCCCAAAAATGTTCCTCATTGCAAATCCATTGTCAATCATGATGCACACCACTGCCCCTAACGAAAAAAAAAAAAAAAAAAGATGATCTGCTACTCACGACCATTCCCCAAAGGTAGCTCTAACCAAATGATGGACCCCCTAGCTGTCATTGATTATATAAAGGAAGCTATCATTGTCTATATAAAGGAAGGTGTGGGGATAATGGTGATGTCATTGCCCACAAATAATTATGACCCATATATTGCCCAATTATGGCTATATTTAGGCAATAATGCAAGGCTCCATTCCCTTCCCATTGGCCTACATGGCCAGGGATTCCCAGCCAGATAATGTCAGTGAGTGGGCCAGATGATGTCAGTGGTTAGTAAGGACACAGTGAGTACAAGCAGCTTCTGCTTCCTTATTACTCATTGACAGCCAGAAGCAGTCACATTTGTCCACAATAAATGTGCCCTAAAAATCATTTTGGACCAAACACTACGCTCATTCCTACTGGACAGCTTGGTAAGTTAATGGATATTGAACAACACAGACTATTTGGTAGGATCAAGAGGTAATACAACTATTTTACAGGGGGACTCAGAAAAACAAAAACTGCTGTGTTATTATCATTGACAAATTGCTTCATATATGTCATTTTTTATTTTGTCCATAGTTCCATTTTAATCACAATCAAGAGAAGGAGTATAGGAGTTTTAATGGGAAGGATGAATTAGGAAAATGCTTTTATTTTCTAGTTTTTTAACTCAGCGGGTATAATAGCTGATACATGTTGGATAACTAATGAACTAATGGAGCACCTTCATTTCAATCTATGCTTATTTTGTGGTTCTACAATAGTTTGTTCACTCATCTTTTTATCCTTTATGTTAGTTTAGTACCCACACTTAGGGGACTAGTTATAAAACATTTGTTGGATGAATTCCACAAGCATTCATCCAGGCCGAACACATTTTCCCCATATTTGCTTTAATACTATGACTTCCTATGATCGTAAGCTCCATCTAGTTGTCAAAATATGGTATATTTTCTGACTGAGGTAGTTCAGAAAAATATACTGCATTTTGACCACTAGATGGAGTTGATAATTGCAGGCAGTCATAGTATTAGAGAAAATATGAGAAAATTTCATGCATCCTGGATGAATGCTTGTGACAATCAGCCAATGAATGTTTTATAAGTAAACCCCATGTATTTGTTTTTTCTCTAGGATCTTCTCCATGCTTTTCTTTTTTACAAGAAAGAAAAACAGCTGGTTTTAGTGCAAATGTACACTCCCTTTAAATGTATTAGATTTTTTTAGGCAAATGTAGTTAGATTTTCAACAGATATCTCTAAGGGAAAGATGTGATGAGTGATTTTCCCTGCATGTCATAGGAATCACACACTTGTACTCATCTGCTGTGCTATGCTATAAAAAAATACAGTATATTTAAATGGCAATTGTCCCTAAGCAGTACCTAGTTTTCCTCTGGCAAAATAGCAATGACGTCCTGGTATATGAGTGTGCCTACTGCCTTGTAACTGTATATGTGCTATGTAAGGTTTAAGGCACTGCTGCCTGTGACTGCTAGTTTGTAGAGATTTTAAGTGTGATTTGGTGATGCTACTACTACTTTACTGCTCACTATTCTTCTTCTCTGAGGCTCTGACATCAGGGGCCAGAGCCCTGCCTCTAACAAGATGACCACCTCAACACTGAGATGCAGAGCAGAACAAGGCAGGGTTAATCAGCAATGGGGGAAACCACTGGCTATAGGGAGAACACAGGCAATACTGGTGACTAGTTATTTGCCCTCCATCTGCAATTTTATTGGGACAGAGCTTCAAGAGTTCAGTTCCTCTAAAAGAACCCTGATCTAGTGAACCTTTGAAAAATACACTTCAACTTGTTTTTATTTATGCTTATTTAGTTAAATTGAATGGTTATACAGCTCTAGGTTTGACAATCATTTTTATAGTTCAAGTGGCTTATTTCCTCTTCAATGTTTGCTTATTGCTTATATCAAAATTTTTTTTAGCAAAAATATTTAATAAAATAATTAATTAGTGTCATACAATTCATTTCTCTTTTCACGTAGAAGCTATTTGATGAAGGATGGCACCAAATAAGACTTTTAGTAACAGAAGAAGATGTAACTTTATATATAGATGATCAAGAAATTGAGACAAGAAAACTACTTCCAGTTATTGGAATCTATATCAGTGGAAAAACTCAGATTGGAAAATACACTGGTAGAGAAGAATCTGTCCAGGTAAGTGGGGGTATAAAATAAAACCGAGTCATCATGTTAGTTTTTATTTTTTTACTTTTATTTGGGGATTCAATTATTTAAATGTTTTTTTCAAACATTACAAACATGTGAGAACTACCGCATAACATTATACAATATGTGTTGTTAAAGTGTTAATTCACTTTTACAGAAAAAAATGTAAGTGTGGGTAGCAGTTTGGGAGTAGGTGGGTGGGGATTGCCACATCCCTGCCCCCTATTCACTTCTTCTTTCAGTCTCTTTATTTTCCCTATCTCCCCTGCCCTTCTCTTTTACCCTTTTTTTTACCATATTTCTTTCTCCCTTTCCTTCCTCAACTTCCCAGTATCTTAGTTGCCCACATTTCTCCAATGGGTGCACTCGTGCCCCTCATATAATTGTCCTCTTTACTAGCAGACTTATGATCAGAGCATCCCACCCATAGGCACATTTACCAAGAAGCTTCGGTTAGACTAGATGTCTACAATGTGTGGCTCCTTGCATGTGTGCTATATACTAGGATATTTGGGAAGGAGTTCTGGTGGACTTACCCAAAGTATTCACTCCATCAGAACTTGCTGTTCTACATACCCATAAAACAATATAGTAAGATCGGTGAGCACTATACGAGTCTAGCCGCTAACAGCACTTATAGGTAACAAAATAAAACCTTAAAAAGCTAATATATCATAAAAGTGCAGCGCTACAAATAATTCTGTAAATAATGTGATAGTCCGTAGTAAGATGTATGATACAAAGGTTGATAGTGATTTCAGACTTCAGTGGTGTGCCAAGAAGATATAGTAAAAATACGCACTCACCAGATGCGTATTTTTATATACGCAAAATAATGTAACCAGAGGTCCCCCCCTCAGGTTGGAATGGATGGGTTATGCCGTATTAACGGGTTATCCTCCCTCTGGATGGTGTGCAGATAAACTGATGTCTCCCTTGGTGCGTATGGACAGGATCTCACCAGAGGCCTCCTTAGTGGATGGATGGACGCTTGTCTGCCAGTAATGGAACAGCTCACTCCTCTGGGGTGAAACCGCTTGAACCACTGCTACCGTATCATCCAGAAGGACTCTACAAATGAATGTCAGCTCGCTATAGAGCCAAACAAGAAGTAGCCCATAGTGTAGTAATTTTGTAAAGGGTATTTATTAAGTGTTCCACGTGGTTAAAATGCAATAAATGGACAAAGTAATAAAACACTGACCAAACAAATCAAGATGACCGCTGGACCTGTACCAGGAGCCGGTGGCTAGACGTCACAGCGTGGTTCAAGTGGTTTCACCCCAGAGGAGTCCATACGCACCAAGGGAGACATCAGTTTATCTGCACACCATCCAGAGGGAGGATAACCCATTAATACGGCACAACCCATCCATTCCATCCTGAGAGAGGGACCTCTGGTTACATAATTTTGCGTATATAAAAATACGCATCTGGTGAGTGCGTATTTTTACTATATCTTCTTGGCACACCACTGAAGTCTGAAATCACTATCAACCTTTGTATCATACATCTTACCACGGACTATCACATTATTTACAGAATTATTTGCAGCGCTGCACTTTTATGAGATATTAGCATTCTACATACCTGACATGAATGTGCTCTCTTATTTCTCATGTCTATATCACACATATTGTCTGAACATTTTCTCCATTATTTATGCCTTTGGACATTACCGAAGCTGTAAACAAATCCTATTTACTGGTATCTTGTTAAAACATAATAAAGTCTTTGCGGAAAAAAGAAAGTTGTAAAGGTGAACCAACCGTGGACAGCCTCTCCACCCCCCTGGTCCCCACTCTATATACCTTTGGGGATGCTGAGCTGTCAACTCGCAACCCCAGAAGTAAGTACAGTGGTAACTGGGGTGGTAGGGAAGATGCCTGATATTAGTTCACCTTAAATTTTTTCTGTAAAGGTGAACTAACTCTTGAACAACACATATAAAGTTACTGATACTTTTATTGTCCGGAGTCTTTTTCTGGAGGCGAGCTCTTAACACTAGAGGCTGCCTACCATTAGTGGTTTATGATTGCCAGTGATTACATGGCAGGATAGCAATTATCATTGATACTGAAACCATTGAAATAAACAAGTAGGAAGCAGATCTTTTTCTTGTTTTTTATGGTTCTTGTCTGGAGTTGCAGGTCAGACACAGGCAAAGGTAGTGATAATTTGCATTTCTTTTCAACTTACTTTCAACTCAGGTCAAAATGCCAAAGATTAGGACTAGTGTTATTGTGCATTGTGGATGCATTCAAGATGTGTTTAGGTTGTGTTTGCTATATGTTCACCATACATTTACCTTGCATTCACATTGACATATATAGATGAATAAAAGCGAAACACAAATTGCTCTTAGACTGGTGTTACCTGATCACAAAACACCATCTACACCAGCCCTTTAAGCTGCTCACAATTTTTTAATTTGAAGTAGGAAAAATTCAGAACCTGTCAGTGCCTCTGTTGACGATATCTGGACTTCTGACATTTGGCAAATATTGATTGGAATCCAAAATGTTATGCTTGCTACCAGCACAAGAATAGAGTTGAAAACTACAAATAGGACAGCTGTTCTGTGACAACTGTTGAAAGTAGGATTTTCCCTTTACTTTGGGAAGATTTCTACTCAAATCCTGTTGTGTCATGGACACATGGCGACATAGATAATAATAGCCTTACTGAAGTTCTAAGAACTTTCCAAATCTATCCAAAACAAAAAGTTTTAGCCGGTGTTCTACTTTAAAGTAAGTAGAATCTAGTTCTCGATGCACTTACCCTAATTATAGTCATCAGGATCAATAAAGGTTTTAAAGATGTGTTAATGACATTTGCAAGAAGGTCTATGATCAATTTGGTGCCTGAATACAATTGCCTCATTCAATAATTACATACACAGTTTGTAATATTTAAAGATATTAAGATATTTTACTGAAAAACAATGCATGACACAGCAGCAGAAAAGGCATCAACAAAATGGTGGCCATCTGCACACAGACACCGGCTCCCTGTTGCATAAATGTGAATAAAATAAGTAAGATATGGCTTCAACTCCTGTTCTCCACCTGTAGAGAACTCCTCAGACATGTTTTGCCCTATTGAGGCTTAATCATAGAGGCAAAAGCAGAAAAGGCATGCTTAAAAACAACAAACACATGCACATACACAAAGCTTATAAGCTTTAGAAACCATTTCAGCAATTGCTAAACCTAAGTGATCCCACAAAAAGCCAGAAATATGTAGATTACATAAGGAGTTTGGTGGCTTTGTGGATGCTTATATGTTGGCAGCCAGATGTTTTCAAATTAAATTATGTTCAATTATTCCTGAACAATTTCCAGCAAAAAAAAAAATCTGATTTGTATAGTAAGTAGCCCAAAGGTTACTATAACCAATCTGAACATTTTAAAACATGTGCTAGTACTTTAGTATGCCCTGGGAAACCACAATCCTGCAAGTGATATCCTGTGGGTTCCATTTAAGGGATTTGCAGGGTTGTAAAATATACACTTTTAAAGTGCAGTTTTTCATTTCGGAATATAATGTTAGGTCTAATGTTTTCTTAATAGTGATGTGTGAAAGCCTTACTGTGTGGTTTGCAAAGTTATTTACTTATTCCCATAATATTGGACTATAAAGCTAGGGAAGAAAAAGTCACTCAATCTTTTGCTGCCAAACTGAAGAAATTATGCAGAAAGAACACATTCAACTACATCTACTGTGTAATCACTGTAGCTGGTAGCACAGGTTCAATAAAAAAGAACATACTGTAGTAAAACTATTCTATGTAAAAAGCTGGAATATTACTTGGCTGTTGGAAGGCACAGCCACCAATAATCAATATCTATCTCAAACGTAATCCCTTGCCTTAATAATTACATTGGGCATATTTCTCTTACCTCTTACCAGTCATGGATAAACTGTAAACTCCCAATTATCATGCCATAACCAACTCAGCAATGTAAACTCTGCCAATAAAATTGGATAAGCAAATATACGTGAATGAAATGTAGAGACTATAAAGTCGGTTGCCTAATTTTAGGACAGTAGTCCTACCCCTCACACCACCTAAATGGCATCCTGATTCCAATCCTAGATGTAGTCCATGGTGACATATATTGCCACGTAGTTTAACCACTTCCAGACCGGACACTTTTACCCCCTTCCTGACCAGGGCAATTTTCAGCTTTTAGCGCTATCACACTTTGAATGACAATTGCGCGGTCATGCAACACTGTACCCAAATTAATTTTTTTACCATTTTTTTGAGATAGATAAAGCTTTATTTTGGTGGTATTTATTCACCACTGGGATTTGTATTTTTTTTGCTATGTAAATGAAATGTCCAAAAATTTTGAAAAAAAGTGTTTTTTTTTATAAAAATTTTGCAAATAAATAATATTTCATCATAAATCTTAGCCAAAATTTATTCCGTTATCTTTTTAGTAAAAAAAAAAAAATCCAAATTAGTTTATAAGCAAAAATTATAATTTTTAAACATTTTTTTTTACATTTTTATTTTATTTTTTTATATTATTATTTTTTATTTTTATTTTTTTTTTTTACATACTGTCACCCTAGCAGTACAGTGTCACCATGGTGACACTGTACTACTTGTGAGGGGTGATGAAGATTTTTTTTTTTTTTTTTACACTGATTGCTTTTACACCCATATAGGATGTAAAAGCAATCATTTCTCTTTCTCTCTGTGTGCATTCATGCACTCATTGAGAAGAACTGAGTGAGCTGTGATTGGTCACAGCTTGTCACATGGTACAAGGCTTTTGTGAATAGCCTTGTACCATGTGACCTCTGTGATCATTCACAGATTTCACACATAGAAAGCAATGATGTCAGAAGTGACATCTTGCTTACTACTTTGCATGTGATCACTGATTGGCCAATCAGTGATCACATGATCGGGACCTCGTACAGAGGTCCCGTCCAACGATCGGTGTTTCACTGTGTCCGGAGGACACAGCGGC